CCCCATCCATTTTAAAAGAAAGTTTTGCAGGATACATCAGTCTAGGTTGGAGGTTGTTTTCTTTTAGTACTTGAAATATCACATTCCAGGCTCTCCTTAACCTAAGGATTTATATTGAAAAGTCTGCTGTAATTCTGATAGGCTTTCCTTTGCATGTAATTTGTTTCTTGTCTCTTACTGCTTGTAGTATTTTGTTCTTCTGTTGGGTTTCTAGGATTTTGATTATTATATGTCTAGGTGTAGATTTTTTTTGATCATGGCTAGTTGGAGTCCTATATACCTCACTTATCTATATGTCAAATTCTTCCCCTCTATTTGGGAAATTTTCTATAATTAATTCTGTGAACAGCTTTTTTAAGTCATTTACATTTTCTCCTATTACTTCTTGAATTCCTATCAATCTTACATTATTCTTAGTATCATCTAAGAGTTGTTGTATCAATTTCTCATGATCTCCTACTGTTTTTAAGAGACCTCTGTTTTCATGGTCACTGACTGCAATTTTATCTTCTATATCTGAGATTCTATCATAGGACTCTTTTATTCTTTTGTGAACACTCTCAATGGAGTTTTTAATCTCCTGGATATCTGTTTGAATCTGTCCTATGGATTCAATTTCTTTCTTGTATTGGACATTTATTGTTTCCAATTCTTTCTTATACTGAGCATTCATGGCTTCTACAATGGTCCTGAGCTCATCTATTTTCCTCTCAGTATCTGTTCTAGAGTCACGAATTATAACTCTAATTTTGCTTGTCATCTCTATGATTATCTGGGAAATTACTTCTGTTTTATATTCCTCTAGAGCCTGATTGATCAGTTTTGTTACTTCCTGTGCATTGAGTTCAGGGTGTCCTGATGATTCACTATCAGACTTTTCATCCTCATCTGCTCCACTATTTGCCATTGGTGAACTGGAAGTCTGTCCCTGTGTTTTGCTTAAGCATTTTCTCATTTTTACTATTATTGTTGGGTTATCCTTAGTTTTTAACCTTTAGATTATTACTTAAATCTTCCTGATATAGTTGGGCTGCAGCCCATGGGTCTCTAATGACTCATAGACATACTCATTTTCATCATACTGAAGAAAACAGCTCATTGACTCAAGCACAATCCTTTATCCTAATTGATACAATCAGCACCACAATATAATGAAGCACAATTTGCAAATTGACCACTTATGGTAGTCATCAATCTATCACCTTCAAACCATGTAAATTTAATTAAGATCAAGAAGTAATCCAAAATACGCTTATAGTAAATAAACTTTTCAATAAGGATATTTACCATTTATAATGGGGGCTTAAAACAAAGTTAAGACAAGAGGAGTAGATAAGTATAAGAATTAGAGAAGGTTTCATATAAAGCCAAAAGACGTAGAATGACCAATCATCAGGAAATTGTTAAATTCAAAAAGAACAAACAAAATAGAAATATAGTAACCCTTGAGTGAGGTAGAATAACATAAGAAAAGAACATAAAGAAAAGAGAAAAAGATAATAAAAGAAGAAATCTGAATTAGGACAAGAGCAGAAACAAAAAGAGAGATGAGGGATACTATAGTGGAATAAAAGACTTAGAGAAAGAAAACAAAAAGAAAAAAAAGAATTTTCAGAGTAGGATAAAAAAAGAAAGAAACAAAAATGAGTGTAAAGGGCCTCTTTCAGACTATATCACTGCTGTCATAATATACAATATGTGCTGCCATTTGCAGAGCCGAGTCCCCTGATCTCAGCTAGCTGGTGGCAGAACCCCACAAAGCAGACTGAGCTCAGGCTGCAAGGCCGAGACTGAGTTCCCTGACCTCCTAAAGGTCGTAAAGAACTCCACTCAGTTCTACTATAAGTTTCCCCCACCACTTCTTTAAAGATGTTCAAAGTTGAAAGTGCCAGAAAATACTCTTTATGACCACCTCTGCCTCTACAGAGTAGGTCCAAAGACTGGCACAATCAGGAGGTCTGAAAGTGTGAGGGGGAAGGTTGGGGGGCTTCGGGGTTGCCCACGCAGCTACCTTTCTAGCGCCGAAGATGGCGGTACGGTGCCAGCCGGGGAGGGCCCGGCCGAGAAGACCCTCCAGGTGCTAAAGATGTCTGAATGCAGCCTGCAGGAGAGAGCATGGCTGAAAAGACCCTCTGGCACTGAAGATGGCCAGAACACTGAGGGGAGGGAGCGGCCAAGAAGACCTTCTGGCACCAAAGATGGCGGACGCAACCTGTTTTCTCTTATTTTTAATAGAAATCATTTTCTGATAAAATATGCTGAAATGGGTCAGTGCTGAAACACTCTTTGGAGGCGTCTTCTCCAAAATTCATAGCTATGAAGGTCTCTCTTTGAAGAGCTGGGAGTGACGAGCCAGGCATTCACATGTTCGTAGTGTAAGATTAGACAGGGAATGAACTGGAAACAAGGAAGAGGAGTCACTTATGGGACTGAGGAAAACAAGCTGTGCCATGGCTCTTTTCTGGCTTGGCTACTAAGCCATATTGATCTTGAGCAAGTCACATTCTCTCTTTGGGCCTCAGGTTTTTCATATTTGTAATGAGAAGTTTGGGCTGGAAATCTCTGTGATATTGACACAGAGAGGCAACTAATCTCTTAACCAGTTAAACAGGGAGCCTCTTGCACCCACAGTGGTCAGAAATAAGGTTCCTAGAGGGTCCACATTCAATCAGAGACCAAACTTCTCCAACTATCTAGCCCTTCTACCATTCCCATCGCTACCAGGAGATGCACATGAACTCCTCCTGTGTGTGCAAAGTCTTCTCCCTGTGTACAAAGTCCTCCTCAAGTGCATGAGGGGCCTCCTTATTCCCATTCAGTCACCATTTGTTTCCCTCATGCTCACACAAGAGTCCAGCCAAAGCTAGTAAATTAGGTGGTTCCATTCATATAAGGTTATGAAATAGCATTCTCTATGTGAAGAGTCCAAAAAACTTCACAAAACCACATTTTCTTTCTGAAGTGTCCTGAGAAATTTACAGCTATTTCCCTTTCAAAAGTAGAAATTTATTGCCAACAGACACATTAAGATTTTGGAGCTCTGAGTTCCCTTTATGGAACGAGGCTTAGATGAGGCAGTTTACAATTGCACAAAAGTATAACACAATTGCATGCACAATGTAGGAAAAACAAAAGCAAAACAAAAACAACAAAAGCATGAAGCTAGACATCTTCAGATCAGCATAGTTGATGTATGCCACATGTTCTAAGCTGTTGCCAGAAAAAGCCACAAATTTGTTTGTCAGTTTCCTTGGCACTAAGACAAATATGGTCATAATTTCAGAGATACTAACTTACTGAAGGCCGCAGTTACCCAGAAAACCTGTGGCTAAGTCAACCATGAAATGTAGGACTTCAGATCCCTTTCCCAGCACTAAATTCTACCCCCAATGAGCCCCCTGACAACCCCTCATAGGCAAGACCACCAGGAAGTGGCAAGAAAGGACTTCCCAGTATCTGGGAAAGCAGAGATATTCACCCTACAAACACTGAGCAAGTCAAGCCATCAGAGACTCAGGTTGTTTGTAGAACTTGGTGTCTCAGCTAATGTGGGAAACAATACGACAAAGCTAGATGATGAACAAAGATAGAGGGCTGGTGTGTAGCTTAGTGGTACAGTGTTTTCCTAGCATGTGTGAGGCCTTGGGCTCAATCCTTATCACTGCAAAAAAAAAATTAAAAAGGTGATAGAGGGATGGGTAATCATATATATTGTAGTAAAGAATATCACAAAAAGGACAGCTGGGCTATGCAAGCATTGTCTTGAGGAAAGCCACTAGGGTCTAGACTAGGATTTGTGGATGGACAGTTACCATTAGCTTTGTGGGATTCTTCTTACTATGAATCCATTCTTAACAAGCAAGCTTCTGATTAAGATTTAGTTTTCCAGGGGGCCGTCCTTAGGATGAGGAACTTCTGTCACATAGAATTTTGCAGTCCCGTCCCAGAGGACGTGTGTGCTTCTGCCCCGAGAATCTACAATTGTATGCATCAACTTTTAGGAGCTTGGTATGAGCTATGAGCCTGCCCTGGAAGATGCTCTAAGTGCTAATAAGATGAGATGGCATAACTCAGGGCCAGACAGCCGACCACAGCCAATTCTCTGAGGGGAAGAACACATCATTTCATTATTCCTGGATAATAACCAGCCTGTGGTTCCTCTGGAGTCCCCTCCCCACTTGGTTTGGGTTTGAACTTGCAGGGGGATAAGCATGAAGAAAGCTCAAGGTCCTTCACACTCTTTGGCATTCCTGCCTTCCCTCCTTGTTTGGGTAACCCCCACAGACCACCTTGGGTCTGACAACCAGTGGAACACGCTGCTTCTGCAATCCTGTGCCTACCTTTGTTCTTGCATATTGATGTAAAAAATCATTACATCTCAAACAACCAAATTGCCAGTGCTTTGCATTTATTACGCACATTACCCACAGGCAAATTTGAAAATTATACCTCTTCTTGGGTGTTTTATACTAGATTTCAAACAGCCCAGCCCAGCGTGAAACTGGAGGCAGAAGATAGAGAGGGATTGGCTTTATCTTCTGATTAGTTGTGATGAAAAATGATTTGAGAGACACAAATAGAATGACAATAACATGGTTGGTTGGCCTGATCGCCTGTTATCCATAAACAGATAATGGTGCCTCTGAGAGTTTATGTGGCTTAAGTTAGCTTGTGACGACCAAAAGGGACAGGCAGAGCTATTTTCAGTTTGGGCTTTAAACACATCCCTAAGCTAATGTAAATGCCAACAAAATACTAAAAAATAAAGAAGTAAAATAAATGAAGAACTTACAGTATAGCCAGCAGCAGGTCAGTATCAAGAAGAGAACTGCACAGATGTTCTGGTCTTCAGAATTCAGTTTTGCAGCAACTTGCCTTAGAGGGCCACTGCTGGCTCCCCATGCATCCCTAATTAGTAAGCAGGTTTTAAACTCCCCAAATACCTTATGTGAGCTGTTCTCCTCGCACCTACCCCACCTTCTTATTTTGCAAGCACTCACCTGGGTGTCCTCCTTTCCTTGTAGCAGGTCAGTCTGAGGGAGAGCCTGGGTCTCTCTCATCCATTCCGTTGGAGTATTGGCTTTACCCATTCATCTCACAGGTGCTCAGAAAAAAAAATGAAGAAAGAAGATGCAGGAGAAATTGTGGTGTAAGAAGAACCTCCCCCTTGTGCATATATAACACTTTACAGTCTCTCAAGTTGTTTCTCAGATGTGATCCCATTTGAACTACCCAAAGCCCTGGGATATTCACTAGAACAGTTACCCTCTGCTTCGGACAAAGATGTTTTACCTTTTATAGGCATTATTTTCATAGATCTTCTCTAAAATGGGAAATATATTGGTCCCTATCCAACAAAGCCACCACAAAGACTAAATGTAATGAAATGATTAATATACATAGAAGCCCTCACAATGGAGCCCAGCATATGGAAAAGGCTACATATGTTTGTTGTTGTTACTGTCTGATTTAATCTGGATTCAAGAGAATAGGATCAAAATGTTCTGCTCTCCCATCCAGGGTCCCCATGGCATTGGCTCGCCATGAGCTAGAGTCTGTGCCAACTGCTTCCTGCTGCAGCTCTCCATGTCCTCATCTGTGTCACAAATATTTGGAGTAGACCTTGTCCATGAGCACTGTCTACCATGGCCATTTATGGAGATACATTCTCCCATCTTCCCAAGCAACTCCTCTTTCTCCTCCAGGGTTTGTCTTTTCCCTCTAAGAGGACAGAGAAGGCTATCCGCTCCTAATGCTCACAGCCATCCTGAATTTTTCCAAATAGCCATTTGGCAGTGCAGCAATAAAGCCCCAAATGGGCAAAAATGTCTGTACATGCTGTCTACTGGAGAGGAGCATTAGATCAGGGGTTTTAGGGGCAGACAGGCTAGTGGCAGCTGGGAGGGGGGCCTGGACACAGTCCCAGTGTTTGATGCCAGGTCACCTGGACCCAGAGCCAGAGGGAGGAAAGCAGAGAAAACATGAACAGGCCCCACTGACTGAAGTGGTTGCATGTGCTGTCTGTGCTGCGAATTCTTCCTCTGGTTCTGAAAAGGTTAAAAACAAGTAAAAAAGTGAAACCATTAGACGAAAGGCAAACTCCACGTCCTCAGAATTGGGACACTGACAATAGTCTATGGATTTATTCTAGCACAATGGAACCCTTTCTTTGTTCCCCCACCCAGCCCTCCTCTTGGCAAGCCATCATCAGATTCCCTGTCCCACTGGCTCCCTCTCAGACCCAAGGAAGGCATCTCTCTTCTCTATGAATGAACAACCACATTTCTCTCTCCTTTCTTGGAACATTTAGCTCTTTCCGCCTTGTTACAAGTTCTTAGTCTGTATGTTTTACCTCCTTAACCCCAAACATCATCCCCTACTGCAGAATTAACTTGAGTCTCTTGGGTGCCACAGCAGCCCCTTCCACACGCATTGACCTCATTTGCTCTTGGTTATTTGCTAATCTGCCTGTCCCCAGCTGCTCCTCCTTCACCCCTGCTAAATTCCATTAGGCCAGAGAAGGGGTTTCTTCACTCCTGTGTGCCCGAAGCCTCACACTGTGTTAGCAATCATCTACTGTGAGTTCTGTGAGGTCAGAGATTGAGGTTTACTCATCTCAAAATGTTCCCAGCACATAGAAATTTATTTATGATTTGTTAATAGGATGGAAAATCTGAACTGGTGATTATTTCCGAGGAAGTAAACCATTATTTTTCAAATTTATATAACAATGGTTGTGAAGAAGTACAATACATGAGTGGGAGGAGGGATTCTTAGAAAAGTTTTAATTCATGATAGTCATGTTTTCGACAGCCTATTAGTTGTAAAATTACCAGCCCTGAAGGTTTGTTCCCTTGCTTTTGTTGTTGGTTTCGCAATACTGGGTTTAAACCCAGGTCTTTAGCACTGCGCTATGTTTTCATCCGTTTTAAAACTTATTTTCATTTTTAATTTTGAGGCAGAGTCTTACTAAGTTAGTCAACTTCCCAGGCTGGGCTGGGACCCTTCTGTGTTAGCCCCATGGAAAGCTGGGATCACAATCGTTTGCCACCAAACCTGCTAGGTCCTCAGGTTTGAAGTCAAAGATGGGAAGGTGGCATTAAATGCTGTATTAGATCAACCCCTACCCAACCCTTGAGCATCTAGCCTACATTTGAGCACCTTTGGGAGTAAGCAAAACACACGCTTCTTAAGCAATGCATTCAAATGTAGAGCCCTCCTTATAACTTCCAGTCATGAAGACAATGATTAAGAGGACTGTGTGGCCCAAATATAAAAACAAGTAAGATAAAACACAAGTACACGGTACAGCCAGGCCTGGTGGCACACGCCTGTAATCCCAGCACTTGGGAGGCTGAAGCAGGAGGATCACTGTGAGTTTGAGACCAGCCTGGGCTACATAGTGAGTTCCAGGGCAGCTTCAACTACATAGTGAGACCCTGTCTCAAAAAAAAAAAAAAATCACGGTACAAAAGTGAACATATATGGCATAAACATACCCATAAAAAATATGAGAGGCTGTAAAGCAAAGGAAGAAAATGTATCAAAATCATAATCCATTCCTTCATTTCTTTCCCAAACATCACCAAGACCCTAGTGTTGTGGATACTCTAGCATGAGTAGGATAGAGTAGTCCTCACGGCTGAGTTATGGGGATGAAATTGGGGTGATTGTTGTTTATTATCTCTATATCTTATTTTCTGACCTAGGCTTATATGAATGAATAAAACCTGATAAGACTGAAGAAGTACTTCTTTTACTGAAAGCACATGAGAGGAATCTTTTGCTTCTTGAATTCTGGAGACTTTAGAAAACAGGTTGTGCCAATAGCACTTCTCACTGAGAAAATGCTGAGCTTCTATCAAGGAACAGATTACCAATGCATCGATGTGAATGTGATACATCCACGACGAACTTATCTCCAAGGCAATACTTTCCACTGATCTCAAAGAATGCAACAGCTACACAATTCTGAAGCTGGAAAGGATTTCTGATTTTTCATTTATATTACCTCAGTTAAGAGGAGAGATGATACTGTTATAGAACTCAGATGATACTGTTGTCATAAAACCTCGGGGTGATTTGCACCCTCCACCAGTGCCCATGATAATGTTCTTCTATCTGACACCTCTTAGAAGTCCTCTAGGACAAACCACACCAAACAGAGAAGTTTGGTACATTAAAATTTCCAAAAGCATCCTACAGTGGGTAATTCCACAACTCAAATTACTTTTCCTTCCATGCCTGGTTTCCTCCGAAGGAACCAGGTGGCAACGTACATGAGCATTTGGTCCCATCAATTATGCAAAATGCTCCACGTGCATTACTCTGGATTTTGCCCTTCCTGTCATATGGCCACAAATAATAAGCAGCACCTCCTACCTGAAAGGCTTACAAGATGACAATAACTGATCAAGCTGGAGTCGCTTTCCCTAGACAGCACAGAGTTTGCAGAAGTCTGATGATATAGGCTACGCAAGCCTCAGTTGAAAATCCCTGAAAATCAATAAAAATATTATCCAGATTTTAAATTCACCAGTAATGGAATTCATTCAAACATCATACTGACGCATGCCGACAGCTTCAAAATTGAATTTTTCTTGTGATTGCTGGAGTGAATAAAATTTCCCCCTGGTAGCTAGCTGCTTTTGAAACCTTTATAATTTATGTTCTCACAGCAACTCAGTGTCAGAACCAGCAGTGCTCTTTGGCAGAGAAAGCTTTTAGAGAGACAACAATAGATAGTATAGGGAGAGGCATTTTCACCCCGTGGTCTGGTAAGATTTGTAACATGGTCTTCATTCACAGAGGATTTACTTACTGACAACCACAGTGAGTCCCAGAGTCCTGCTGCAGGGTTTGCTACATTTCTGCCACACCAGGCTCGTGCCTCTCCTCCATTCTCTGTTGCACCACAGGATGCAAAGGTGCCCAGATAAGACCACAGCATCCCTTAGCAAACATGTGAGTCACAGACAGGGGGCAGCAGAAATCAAGAGCCCATCTGCTTGAAATGTGTTCCCTTCAATGCGGGGTGGGTTTTCTTTTTACATTTTTTTATGCTGTGACAATTTCTTCTCTTAACCACTTTATTAAAAATGATTAATATAGTAACTCACTCATACTTACATAGGGAAGCTCTCATCCTACTTAGAAATTAAATAACTGTTTCCTATTGGTGGCATTTCCTTTGAAATGAAAGTTCCTGGGAGGGTTCTAGCGCTTCACAATTGAGCAAAATATTAATCGTCCCATTGCTGTTTATAACAGCAGTGTCACCATTGTTGAGCACATCATCCATGAAAGTCCCAAAGAATAGCTGTAAATGGAATCTACCCTTTTTGAGGAAGGTCTAGAGAGAATCGAGATGGAAACAAAGCTATTTCACAGGAGCCAGGATGAATGGTCTGTTTTCTCAGGTTCTCTCTGAAATTGATCTGCACCGTGGAAAACACCCCAGAACCTCTGACACTTGAAATAAATATCTTATTAAGCCAAATTGGCTTTTTCGTTGTTGTTCTAGAAAGTTTTTAGCCTCTTGTTTGTTCTTCTAGAATCAAGCACACACATACAAAAAATAATAATAATCTTTCTTGCACCAGTGAGCAGGAAGTACTGTGTCTGAGGGAAAATTCAGTGGTTCAGTTCTCAGCCATGATCTAAGCCATTTAGGACTTAGTCTCAATTTCCCCCTTTGAGAAACATGATTCTCATTCTTGGCATGCCCATTCCTCCACGTAACAATCAGGCACAAACATGCTAAGAAATGCGAAAAAGTTGAAGGAAACTGTAAAGTGCTCCTGGGTTACCAAAATCAAACTGGATTGCAGCCCTTTGTCTTACAATTCACCTTCATACTTGTATGTGTTCACCATGTGAGGTTGAAGTTCACCAGTTTCCATGACAAAATAACAGGACTTTTCTGTTAAGCTTTTTAAAAGGCTTCAGCCGGGCGTGGTGGCGCACACCTGAAATCCCAGCACTTGGGAAGCTGAAGCAGGAGGATTGCTGTGAGTTGGAGAACAACCTGGGATACACAGTGAATTCCAGGTACTGAGACCCTGTCTAAAAAAAAAAAAAAAGTTTAGATTTTCATGACACCAGATAATGAACAAAGGGGAAAAACATGAAAATTCAACTTCACATCATAGAGAACAGAGATGCAAATGTATTATTGCATGACATCACTTTCCAAAAAATGCAAATATTGGCCATATTATCTCTAACTAGTCTCAGAGGGGGGTTTGCAGCCCTCCACCCGGGTCTACATGGAAGTAGTAGGGAAACTCACGCACGCACACACAAGTACACACAGTCTCCTACAAGGGAGGGAGGGAGGGAGAACAGAGACACAGAGAAAGTATTCAAGATCAAATTTAACCAAGATGAAAACAAAGCAGAGAATTCACTGTGGTAGAATTAAGGAGAGGAGTGTTGTTGTTGTTGTTGTTGTTGTTGTTGTTGTTGTTGTTGTTAGAGTGAATAAATCAGGAATATGGGAAGAAAGGAAAAATTAACAAAATAAGGGGAAATCTGGGGTGAAGTCAGCACCCAAGAGCATCCCCGATGCTCTATATAATGTGACACGGATGCCAAAGGCCTGAATGTCCATTTGCAGCTTCCCGATATGCCGAGTTTCAGAGAAGAACACCACAGCCACACATCCCACAGATCTTGACCTATGTCAATGAGGGGAATGCTCCGGCTTCCAGACACAGGGCAACTGTGCTCACAGAACTGAGAGTTGGAAACTTATATTCTGTGGGCCTCTATAATGGACACATTGTGACAAACAATGTTTACACAGTTCCAGCCAATGAAATGCTCTGACCACCTCAGGTGTCAGACAAAGCTATTCTATGAGTGGCCTAAACCATGCTTTAAGTCAACAGATCTGATTCTAGTGCCTAGGAATCTCCAAAGCATTTTCTAGCTGTGAAAACTGGGATGTACGGTATAACCCCTTTAGTTTGAGTATTTACATCTGAAAAAGAGGAGTGACACTATTTATCCTGATAGGATTTCTAGGGGAAACTTTTAAAATAACTGGTATATAATAGGCAGTCAATAAATGTAGACTGCTCCCCCATGCAGGTGCCCAGGAGATCAGAGCACAGCCTGTGTAGTCCCTGTCATAAAGAGAAGCCTACTTTGCAGTGTAACTTTGCCCCAAACCCTAAGTGTGCAAGGTCAAAATTAGATTTGACCTGAAATTAGATTTCTGGTACACAGCCTTTGATCTAACAACTCTTTAAGGAGCCCATTGCATTAAGAGCTAATTTATAACGCATGGTTTAGTGGCCCAGCTCTTGTTCTACCCTCTTTTCATTTGCTCAGCGAGACCACAGGCATTAACTACTACATAAATACAGTCTGCATCTTGAAAAGAAAAACACACAGAATCAGCCACCCCTGGAAATTTACTCCTTCAAGGAAGCCTCAGACTTCTGCAACAGCAACGCACCCCTTTGTGGGACCCCACAGAGTTCATGAATTTCAGATGCTTGTAAGAAATGATCTGTTTTGCTGGACTCTCGCTGAGATCAATCATTCCCTCAGTAGTTGGTGCCAATTAAGAGCCAGTGTGATGCAAAAAAGGATATTTTTATACCCTGCTTGACACCAAGTACCTCTCTACCCTCTTCCTCCCTCTCTTTTTCCTTCCCTCTACCCACCCTACAACCACATTTTCAGTCACTTTCTTCTTTAACAGTGACTGTACTCTAAAGGTCCCGGAATGCAATAAAACTAATTGCTTCTGTCGCTTTTCTGCAGAGAAACGCTGTTTATCCAGTGATTTCTCATCATCTCACATGACCTCTCTGCAGCCTGGTACAGGATGCCAAGCAGAGCGCATTGCTGCTTCAGCCTCCTGTTGCCCTTTGTATTCCCCACAGCTCAATCTGTCTCACACAGCTGCCAAAGTTACCCGCGGAAGATCAAGTTGAACAATGTCATTCTTCTGCTGAAGTAAATCCCTGGCTCCAGGAAGGTAAAGCCCCTCTCAGGACCTTCTTCCTTACTTCTCTGCCTTTTCCACCCACTTTTGCAATTCCTTGAATACATTAAGTGAGTTCTTTCCCTCCTTTACTTCTCATTCCTATACTAAACTCCTTACACCACCTTGGTCATCCAAATAGCTAACACGCATCATGGATCCTTTATAACATGCAGCTCAGCTCTGGCCTCTCTAGGAAGCCTGACCCAATTCCCTTGAGATGACTTAGGTACCCTGTGCTATATTTCCTGGTCCTAGTACTTGCTCCTAGCATAGCATGTACTAGACTGCAGTATCATAGCTGGTCCACATGCCTTTTTGATCCCCCACCTCCCACTAGACTGGGAGTTCCTGAGAGCAAGTGCACTGGCTTTAGACATCATTGCACCCTTTTATCTGGCATAGCATCTCTTGTTCACCGTGTAGATCCTATAGCCCTAGCCTAGATCTAGTCCCTCAGTCTGTCCATCAGGGATGGCGCCGAAATGTGTGTGCTTTGTTAAAGCTCCACTGACCACATGCAGCCCTGGATAAGAATAACTTGGTAGAGAATAAATGTTTGATAATGAGTAATGTACCAATGACACCATTTTAGAACTGTTGAAATAAGCTCAAAAGGTTGGTAATTTGGACCAGACAGCATGCACACACACATGCGTGCACACACACACACACACACTGGCAGAGACAGAGACTGTGATATCAAAGAGAGTGGGATAGAGCCTTTGTTTGGACAAGATTTACCATATATGATCAAGAACTATGGTAAATGTTTAATTTTTTAAAGAAGTTATAACAGCAAAAGAAATACTACCATTCATCCCCCTCAAAATCCTGCCCCGTGCTTCAAATACCCTTAGCACACCACTCTTGCCACTTCCTGAAGCACAGAGGTCCTGGAAGTCCTCTTTGTGAGTGTCTTTACTTCCTGGCTATCTTTGGCTTTTAGCTATCCTGGCTGCCTCAGTGTCCTGAACCAATTCTAAACATTTACCTTTTGTGGTCACTTTGATTTTGGAGAAGAGTGAGAAGCTGCTTGGTGCCAGAACTGAAGAATAAGGTGGATGATCATTATGTTAATAATCACCTAATAAGGAGGTGATTATTACCAGCTTAATAATTTTGCAAGCCTGCCTTTCTAGGGGATGGCAGCCTATAGCAGCACTCACAGTATTTTTTATTACACCTCTTAAAGACACAAAAGAGGACTTCCAGTGGCAAGAATGATGGAATAAGTATGTTCAAGTCAGGGGGAGAAATTTGAGAAAGATTAATAGCACTGTCTTTTTATTGTAATTTTTTAAATTTAAACATTCTGTGTACATTTTTATGTTCCTTTGTATTTATTCACAGGCTGATAATCTCAGTTACTCTAAGCTTTTGCAGGTAGGAATAGGTCTATTTTATGTTTAAAACTTTTAATGAAGTCCAGCCCAGTGCCCAACTAACTGTAGGTCCTCAAAGTTGTTCAGATGTGAACTAAGAGGGCTATGGTAAAGACCTCATGCTCTAAGCCTAGATGTGGCATTGACTATTCCTTATTCTACCTCAAGAATTTCTTTAAGCTTCTGATTCCACAGCCACACAAAGAGGTAGACTGGATGATTACAAGTCACCCCATCTCAGATGTTTCTAATCTAATCAGTGCAGGAGAACTTGAGTCTGAATCTCAACCTAGTACTGGATGAAGGATCTTAATCTTGACTATCTCATGAAATGAGACCAGAAGACCAGACAGAAGAGCGACCTGACTGAGCTTCGCCTTTTGAGTTCATCGTGAATGTGGCCAGAATGAAGCACTACCTTTTGTTCTGCTGAAAGACAAATGACTACTCAGCCCTGAGCAGCCATGCCCCCAGAGGGATGTGTGCAAGTCACCCACAGACCGACTGTTGCAACCAATTTTTACAACCTTATACAGGGGGAAAGAAAAACCACATATGACCATTCCTACCTTACAAATTGTGAAACTGAATCATGGAGAGGTTGAAGGATTTCTGCATAAATATACAGTGATGAAATGGTAGGGACCTGATGCCAGGTTTTCTGACTAAATGACTTCTTTCCTTTTTCTTATCTTCTCTGTTGGATCCTACCAGGAAAAAAGTGGCAGGTATTTTCACGTACAAAGCCAAAAGTTAAAACTCCAAAGGATTTTTTAGAGTCACAGTAATTAGCAGGGGCATCCCAAGTGCTTTTTTACTGTATCACCACTACTGTTTCTTTCTTTCTTTTCAAATATTTTATCTTATATAACTCTCCTCCACCGGCGAGACTGAACAGAATGGATAGCAAAGAAAAATTAAATCTGGAGAAGTTATATTGTGAGAATTTATACAGGAGGAATTTGTGAATTTGAATTGGCACAAGAATGACCTTCTCAATAATTGAAATTGCCCTTCATGAAAATGACTCCCTAACCCATTAGAGCATTAAGGGCTTCTCAGACATAAATGCAGGGACAATAAAAGAAGAGCAGCTGGCTTAGATAGCCACAGACATCCATGAAGCTCTTTGCCAAGCGTCCGTGGTCCATACCACAGTCAAAGTCCCAGTCAAGATGTCCCCAGTTGGGATGTGAAACCAAGTCTTCCAACTTCTACTTTATCTGGTGCCTCCTTTACCTTCCCCCATCAACATTCACAAGGTAAAATATTGGTGAACTGTACATTGATCTATCACAAGGGCTGAACACCGAGGAGGCTTCTTGGGAAACGACAGAAAAAAAAAAGATCTTAATTTAAAGCCTGGGCTCTAGTCCTGACTTTTCTACCAAATCCTTGTAAGAAGCTGAACAAAGTTACTTTCCCTTGTACACCATTAAGGGTCCCCCTTTGTATAATGTGGCTGTTGGATAAAAGATTTTTTTCAAGCTTAGCAACTAGTGCATATAACTAGTTATCTTTGTTATCAACCACACTGAAACTAGAAGAGGAACTGAGACTGTTATAGTTTAGGTTAAAAACGTCTCCCCAAAGTCTCATGTGTTAGGAGGTGGGGCTTCGGAGTTATGGTTTATCATAAGAGCACTATACACATCACTGAATGAATCCACTGGTAAGGGCATAGCTAAATGATGGTAGGGCCTGGTTGGAGGAGGTTCAGTTAGTGAGGCAGTGACCTCAAAAGATGTATTCTTGTCCCTGCCCACCCTCCTTTCTCTCTCTTCTGATTCTTGGCTGCCATGGGTTGAGCAACATTCCACCACATGTCCTTCTACTATGGAGCCAGCCAAACGTGGACTGAAGCCTCTGAAACTATAATCCAAAGAACCCTTTCCACCTTTAGGTTTCAAGTGTCAGGTATTTTGTCCCAGTGACAGGAAGGCTGGCTGATACAGGGACTGGCAAGCCTATCCTGGGCAAAGCAGAGGATGGGAGCTCAGCAATGTCTGGCAGGCACTCTTTACCAGTCCTAAGTTCATCTGCAGCTGAGAAATAAGAAGTAGCCTAGAAGTAAAAAAATCATAAATCTTCCTGATGTCATAAGTCCTAAATGAAAATATGCCTCTGAGCCCCATCACCCAGGTTGGGTTGGCGCCGGTCTGTGTCTCTAGCTGCAGCATTTTCCCTACCATAACTCATCTCTATCAGCTCAGCTCCCCATCTCCCCATGCAGATATCCCTGCTGATGTTCCTGCCATTTCTTGACTGACAATCAATTTTGCTACCTGTCATAATCAATTCTGCTCATTAACTCTCCCACCTGCCTCAGTTGAAGCCTCCCGATGCCAAAAAGCATCTCCAAAAAATTATTTTCCTAGGTAGAATAATTGAAACTTCTTGCACCTCCAGAGAAGCTTATGTCTGAAGCTCTCTCAGAGCCATTTCCAAATGTCAGTTGAAGAGTACATTTCATACTAGGCAGGCAGATTCCGCCTTTCCAGCACGGTGAAGTGAAAAGTGAGAAAGAGAAAAAACACGTAGCTACTTCTTCTTTTTTTAAAAATTTGCGGTTCACAGAATACAGAGCTAATTTGACCTTTGTCACTTTTTAATTTAATTGCTTACAGGTCTTTCAGACATGACCCCAGAAATGATTAACACAAGAGAAACACCATAGAGACGGAAGTGCCGGGGACATCCCCTTGTGCCTTTCTCCATGGCATTGGTGACCTGCAAGGCACTCAGACTTGATAGGAACCTGCAGAGTAATTGTGCAGGGCAGCAGACAGTGATGTACGTGGAGAAGAGCTCCGTGTCCAGTGTCCAGCAAGCTGGAAGTAAGAGTTACAACAAAAACAATATATGTAGACCATCCTTTGTCACTAAGTATCTTCACACCATATTCTCTTACTTTGTGTTTGATGTGATAGCTACCCTCACCTCCTTCAGGGCTTTGTTCAAATGTTCTCTTTCCTTGAGGCCCCAAGTGCGATTTAACTTCACTTCCCACCTGGAATTTCCAATCCCCGTCCTGCTATATATTTTCTTTCACAGCGCTCCTCAACATCTGACCTACAATGTAATTTAATTATAGATTATGAGCTCCCTCAAGGCTGGGATCTTTTGTTATTCTCACTGTTGTGTTCTTAAGAAAGACCCAGTTTGATGCCTAAGATAGCAGTTGTGATGTGTGTCGCAGGACTAAAGACATAAATCAGACTGTGATCTTCCTAGTAGCCCTGAGGAACAAGAGGCATCTCTCTTCCTAATCTACAGATGAGGCAACTGAGGCTTGGAGAGGCAGAGTGGCCTAATCACATGGCTGAGAGGGGCAGCCCCAGCTCTCTGACTCAATAGGTTCTCCAGAGACATCTCAGAAACAGACACATTAACAAATGCGCCCTTCCACTCAGGAAGGAGCATCTGAGGCAGAAAGCCCTAAAACCCCACATCCTCTCACTGCCCCCCCTGCAGAATTGGGTTTCCCTGGGCACCCACCTCCCTGGCCCCTGGGAGGCCAAGTTCCCAGGAACCCACTGTAGTTGATGACAGTCTGTAGATCTAATCACCCCATTAAGGTTGAGCAAACAAAGAAAGGGAAGGAAGAAATAATTGCCAAGTCAACAAACCTGAGTGGTCAGAGGGAATAAGGTCAACACCGTAATTACACTTCTCCAAAACAGAAAACATGGGGACTAAGTATTTCCACCCAGCTCTCTCCTCTTTGAGATGGAAACTTTCTCTCCCAGTTAGCTGCCGAGTCCAACACCTGGGCTGGCAGCTTCGACCCTCGTCCCTGCCTGGTTACTTCTGTTGACAGAAGTGGGCCATTACTGTTCACTGAAATTCACTGCTCACACACCAAGCACCTGACCATGCTCTGAGCCCTGATCTACTCAAATGCTTTGGGAGCCAGATTAAGGCAATTTTTCCTTCCACTGCTCCACTCTAGGGTCCCAAGGGACAGAATCTCTGGGAAAAGGACAATTATGGTTTTCTGAACAGGGAGGGATGACTCCAGGGAGGAAGACAACTCAGAATCTTGATATGTTGAATACAAGTGGATATATATGCCAATGAATACATATACATACATATATTATACACCAAATACTATTTGTACTGCTGTGCTGTTTACATATAACATCTGCATGCATGGGCTTAGTGCCCTTATAAAAAGGACCCATGAGAGTGAGGACACAGTAAAGGGGCCATCTTCAAACCAGGAAGCAGGCTCTCATCAAATGCTGAATCTGATTCGAGACTTTCCAGCCACTAGAACCATGAGAAATAAACTTCTATTGTTTATAAGCCACCCAGTGTAATATTTTGTTACAGCAGCCTGAATGGGCTAAGACAAGCTCCTGTACATGGAAACTACCATAGCATAAGCAGGGAAACTGAGGAAAGAGAAAATTAACTTGATGAAGGACGAAATCCCATGGTTCACCCATCAGCTGGTAGGCTCCTGGTGCCATACTGAGTCTGAGCAGCAGACCCGCCCCTTGGGATGCCCTGTTGTCTCCTGCCCAAGGCTAAGTCTTTCTAGGCATCTTCTCTCACCTGGGCTGTCTGTGTCCCTAGCCCCACATGGAATCACAAAACGCTAAAACCGGGCGAGCCCAGAGAATTAGATTAGCCTCACCTAGTAAGTCCCTCACAGCTCACAGGAAGTTAGAGCTCAGAGGGCAAGTGAGCTGCCGAAGGCCTCTGGCCAGGGCCTTTGGGAGACTCAAGCCAGTGAGGACCACGTGGGAGTGGAGTCCCCTGCCCTGGCTGCCTGGCAGCTCTGTGAAGCCCTTGCCTCTGATTACTTCTCCTCCCCATCCCACCAGTCAAAGCCTTGGAATGATGCGGCTTGTCTTGATTTTTGTTTGAATTGTTTGATTTTTTTTTAAATGGCACCGGTCATATTCAGCACAGGTAACCATAAATCATTTAAAAAGGTGAGTACACTATAAAAATAAATAAATGCATGTATTAGAAGATAACTACCTATTCGGCATCCTTTTCACCATTCTTTCTGGAAACTTTGCAAATTCTAAAGTATAGAAGTGCCATAGAGGGAAACGAATCCAGCGGGGTGAGCCATTCATAGAATCCTTTTTCGAAGGGAAGACTTCGGGTTGTTGCTTTTCAGTGTAGAACAAGAGGCCATCGAAACAGCACTGCCTCCCGCTGGAACTCGAAACCCTTACCACCGAGCCCCCCCCGCCCAGGGACAATACAGTAGGAACCGGTATGAACTGGTCACGTCTTCCCCTAAAGTACATGGCAGGGGGTCCCCAGCCACACTCCCCACTGTACTTTTGCCACATTCACACCCGCTCCTCCATTCTGACTGACCTGCTGGTCACCACCCGCTCAGCTTAGCTGACCCCCCTTCCTCTGGGGAGTCTGTTCCTGGCCCCCCAACAACTCCCTCGGGTGAATCACCCCAAGTTATGTTCATCACTCTCTTTAACATTACCTGTTTTCTTCCTGAGTGGTTTGCTATACTAAAATGCACGCTCTCTGAGGAGAGGCTCTGGGTTTAATCTCCTCGCTATTCTTTTCCTAGGGGTTAGAGCCGGTCCTGGTACACAACGGGGACCCAAGAAATGACTGTTGGACAGAGGGGAATGATGAATACGTCATGTTCTAAATCAAGACTATGATTCACAAACTGGCCAAAACCATCCATCCGTCAATGCATAGTTAACATTTAGTGTGTGGGGGGATCATTTCATGAACTGGAAGAGGTGGGGGTGACATGTCTATAGCAACACAATTCATAATAGCTAACTCTGGGAAGTTCCTCCTTAAATGATTTGTATCTGTCCAGCAAAAAATGAATGGATAAATAAAATGTGGTATTTATACATAATTGAGTACTGCTCTGCTATAAAGAAGGATAAATTTGAGTTATTTGTAGGAAAATAAATGAACCTTGAATCCATAATATTAAGTGAAATAAATCAGATACACAATTTTAAATATTTTGTGATTCCTCCTATCTAAGAAGCCCAAAATAGAAATAAAGAACAAAATAAAAGATAGACAACAGGAAGTAGGGGAGTAGATCTTTTGCAAAAGAGAAGGGAATCAAGAGATGTGGGGAAGGGGAAGAGAGGAGAGGGGAAAGAGATGAGAAAGAATTATGATATGTTATGTACACGAACCGACTCCCCCAAGGGGGATCATAATCCTTATGTATTCCAAACATGTGCTAATAAAAAAAATTAAAAAACAGAAACAAAACAAAACAAACAAGTAAGATTATCCTGGTTAGGAATGTAAGAGTATGCACCTAGGAACATAACTGAAACAGTGTAGCTGGTGCTCAAGCACAAATAAAGTGTTTGGGAGGCAAAGGTGCTGAAAGCCAAAGACAAGGGAAGGTTCACAGAAGGCTCAGTATCTACTAAATATCCGAAACCCACAAGCAGAAGAAAGGAAACTGCAGCTTCTCAGCACTGACCCACCCTGTGTGCTGTGCAAATTCCTCTGTGACGCTATGACTTGGGGCTGGCCCGTTTGACTCCCAAACTGACATCTGGAGAAGAGCCCACCTTGGCTGATGCTTGCTCTGTGAATACTCTATGCTTCATGACACATGTTGTTTTGGGTGTTCCTTGCTGCAGCCCAGCATACAAGAAGATACCACAGTCTGTATTTCAACCTATGAAAACTGAGGTTCAGTTGGGCATGGCACACACTTGCAATCCCAGCACTCTGGGAGCTAAGGAAGGAGGTTCATGAATTCAAGCCCAACATGGTAAATTAGAGACTAAGCAAGAGATCCTGTCTCAAAAAATAAAATAAAAAAGGGTAAGGATGTAGCTCCATGAAAAGGCTCTGGCTTCGATCCCAGTTCCACAATGAATGAATGAATGAGTGAGTGAATGATTTAGGCTCTGGGATGAGAACTCTTTCACCCAGTGTCACAGCCAAGAAAGGTCAATGACTCTACCCCTCTGCAAGATATTTCACATTCTTACTTCACACATCTGCTCCCTTGTTTACAGCTGGAGACTTGTTCAAGTTCATGTGCCTGTCGTGGTCTATTTCTAGGTCTGTTGGGCTGCAAAAATGTGCTTGTCTCAACTTTGCGATGAGGAACAAAGACCAAGCCTCTTGCGTGGCCCCCATGCAGAGACAGCTCTTCAGAAGGCTCAGATGCTACGTAGATGGCAAAAAGAACAGAGGGTAAAATGCAGAACTGCACAGTTTGGGAATTCATTAAGCACTCCCATTCTTTTGCCTTTTTCCTGAGGGAATTATTCCCTGGTGACTAACTCTTTCAAGAATTTCTCTCCACTCCTTTCTGCAGCAGAGAGTAAATGTATGTCATCAAAAGCCTAGGAATAGTCAAGATTGCAAAATTCTTGCTGTGCTCTTGGTAAAAATCATTACTCACCAGACAATATTTAGAAATCAAAATGCTCCCCTTAAGTGCCATTAAACACAAATATTTATCAATGCTGTGCTAGAATGTTAGGCTGACGAAGCTGGGGGTTTGTTGGTGTGCATGCATGTGTATAATAAGATTCAAACTTTCAACAAGTACAAGCTGCCTTACTAAAGTTATGGCATCCACATGCCCACCTACCTGCAAATTATTTAGTCTTAGAAAAAAGTGTTCAAGTCTCGGAAGTATTGTCCAAAGAGAGCCACGAAATTTCTCTTTCTTAGTTACCGTGAAAAGCTCTGACTGTGATAAAAGGAGTTGATTTCCCGGTGTGGCTTCTAGGGCCAGTTTAGCCCTCCAGCAGCACTGGTGGAATAGAAAGTGGACATGAAGAAATAGATAATGATTCAGCCTGGCGAATGCTGATGGGCAAATCATTAAACTCCCACTACAGCTTGAAGGAAATGAGGCTTTCAATCTCTGTCTTCAATTTGCTACACATTGCTGCCAGAGGTAGCATCTTCTAAAACAGGCTGAGATATGTCTCATTTTGGTCAAGTTCCCTAGAAGCCAAGTTTCAGACTTG